TTCTAATTAAGAGTGAGGGACAATAGTGCTACAACCTAAACTTATTTAAATAATGATCCACATTTTGGGGAAGGGGGTTTTTTTGGTGTTTTTTTTTTTTTTTTTTTTGAAAACTCAGTGATTCTATGGCTTTTTAAATGTGAAGTGGACTGTTTATATGAAAGTGTTCTGGCAGACAGCCACCATATTTCTAAAATTAAAGAAAGGATTGAAAACAATCAGCATTCTGAGGAACTGAAACCACGGCAATATGTTTCTGATTAATTTACAAATATATGTATATATTTAAGGCTAAACTACAGAACCAGAAAATTCCTACTAGTTAGTCTATCACATGCATTCTTACACTTTATTAGAACAGACATCATATTGAAATAATAAACATGGGAGGCCTTCATTTCTTCTTTGATCTATATTACTAAATGTCTGCCTGGCTAAGATGTAGAATAAACTTTGGTATGTTTGCACTTGAAAACTGGAAAGGGACCACAAGCAATAATTTGTTGTCAGTTTCCATATACTCTAACTAAAACTATAGTTTAGTCTCTACACTGTTGGATGCCAGGCGATGCTAGTCCAGTCACCCCTGAAGTGGCTAAACTTTCTTGTAAGAATACATACTGTAATATGGTAGCAATGATGATAGATCACTTCATCAGGATGGAACCAGACTGAAATGAATTAAAGGCACAGGTCATAGCTTTACATGGTTTCTGAATCATTCTGAATCTATTGCAGACAAGTGTCATTGCAGCCTTAACTATGCAGGTATGCACTGAAGAATGCATCACTTAGCTCCTCTTTCTCTGAATATTTAAGGAGCACGTTTTCAGCATTTCATAGTTTAAAACCTGCCAAATTATTTGCAAAATTATATCTAGGATTTTAACCTATGATATGTTTCACTGAGTGGCCATTTATCTGATGTATTTCTGTATGGGTTTAAACATTTTTCATTTCTATTTTTGGCCTTGCTGGTAGGTTTGGTTCTAGTAAATGAGAAAACTGTTAATTACAGTGTCAGTGCCACGTATACCTAACATAAATGTCTGTTTTGAGGCATGGTAGTTATAGTGTGTATATTTATCCAATAGTTTTACTCAGGTGGATATATGGATTATGAAATTCCATACAGCACTGGTATATTTGGTTATCAAGAAGGTTAATTCAGAGAAGCCAGAAAAGGAGCTTCTGATCAGAAGCCAATAGGATCTAATTCACTTTCAGAAATAGTGAGTGTAAAATGTTTTGGACTGCCAGGAATGGAGAGATTTAAAGAATATTCTACTGTGCTTTACCTCTACCCCACATGTCACTGCACAACCATTATCCTTTTGACTTTTCTCAGTCAATAACACCACTCCCTAGCTTTCTGATTAAAAATTAATCTAGCCAAAAATGGTTGCTGGTAAGAAGAAGGAAGTGCTCTGAAGAGCTCCCTCACCTCTAAATGTCCTCCTTGTACCATCAGTTTGTCACGTCTGTTCCATGGTCTTAGGTATTCCTCAGACTCTTCCCTGATACTGAATGGCCCCAAACTTCCATCTACAGCAGTCCAGAAGACATGTTCACAGAAAGCTCCAACTGGGACAGAACACATTAGCAACACAGGCTGCTGTGAGCACATCATCCTAGTGCTCCTCCCTTTGCACTAACCACTTGCTGAACAGGAATCCCATTCAAAAAGCCTCAACAGGACTGATCCCAGCTACCCAAGATATTGTTCCTCCTACAATATCCATGACCTCTTGCAAGACCAGAATATAATTTTCAACTAGTGGAGGACATAGGAAATCTTTTGAGTTTAGGAGATAAAACTTCAGCCCCAGAACTCAGAGCATTTGGAACTCAATGCAAACGCATCTCTTTGATCTAGCTTTCCATAGTAGCTACTCTTTTCTATCTTATTTACAGACACATACACATATTTATTCTAATCAAATACTTATTCCTACCTGCTGGGTAGGAAGAGATATTATGTCCTTGTTAATTACTTGGGAGGTGCTCCAGGAGTAAGATGATGAGCACCAACAGAAGGACCTGCATAGATAGCCAGGGGGAGACGGAGGGGTCATTGATGATTTAATAGCAAACAAAACTCTCAAGCACACATGTTTTTGGTTAAGCTCCCTCCAGTACTCCATCACTTGTGCATCTTGCCTACACACAGGGCACAGGTCTCTGCGGTGCTGATCTGCTCTAAGCCATTTTTACCATTAGTGGAGATGCAACAGAAGAACAGTTAAAAAAATGCTAGGGTAGGTGCATCCTAAGGGCCTAGGAGCCCTGTCTCTGCAATTTTCCTACCTCCTGCTGGTCTGAAGTACAAGAGACCAGGAGGACCCACTTTTCTGTGTTTTGTCAATTTAAAGACATCAGGTAACAGATTCACAGAGACAAGTTGATGTGCTAAGGAAGTTCAACATACATAAGAGGCTTGCTTATGACATATGGCTGCTTTTAGACATAACAGCAAAGGAAGATGACCAGCTGTGTATGTTACAAGTACTCATCCTGTAGACCACATTTACAGGAAAAACTGGTTGTACTAAGGGATGGAAGGAGGATGACTAATAA